CTCTACAACTTAACCGTTTACAGAAGTATCAATTCAAAGCAGATTCAAAAATGAAGAGAGGGGAGTTTGAAGAAGTCGTATCTGATAATAAAAAAATTTGTATGCTAAAATGGAAAGATAACAAATCTGTAGTCACGACATCAACATGTTACGGAGGTTTACCAACATCAACAGTAACCAGATGGGAAAAAAAACAAAACAAATATATTGATGTACAAATTCCAAATATGATATCGAATTATAATGAAAAAATGGGTGGCGTTGATTATTTTGATCAAATGTTGGAATACTATAGAAAACGGCTGTAAACAAAAAAATGGCCTCTTAAAGTTATTTTACACTTACTCGACCTGGCAATAACAAATAGTTGGTTTGAATATATACACAATTGTAAAATGAATAAAGTGCCGAAAAAAAAAATTAAAGATTTGCTTCAATTTAGAATGGAAATAAGCGAATACCTAACTTTGGCAGCAGCACCACCATCTACTTGTCAAGATACTGAAGAAGATGAAGAACCACCACGAAAAAAAAATACACCTGCACCCATTCCTGGAGAAGATGTAAGACTGGACGGATACCATCATTGGCCAAGAGTAATAGATCTAAAAGCTCCACTAAGTTGTAGACACAAGGACTGTACAAGCCGATCAAAAGTCATGTGTACAAAGTGTAAGATATTTTTAATTTTGTCAAAAGGTAAAACTTGTTTTGAAGATTATCATCAGGTCAAATAAATATTTGTTAATAATTCATAAATTCTAAAATTAATATCAGTATAACATTTATTTTTTTAATTCATTAATTTAAAGTTAAAATATCTTATTTCTAAATATTTAATAAATTTGTTTCATTTTACACTTTGATGTGTTTCTATTTATTTATTTTTAGTTATTAAGACCGAACCCTCACGATCGTGAAGGGGTTGTTTTTCACCACCACCTTGATAATTTTTTTTTTCAACATTTTTTTGGTTATGTTTTAGGTAAATGTAAAAATGGAATATAGTTTAAATGAAAAAAAATTAAAATTTTTTTTTTTTTCGGTCTGTAAGGGTTATATGGATAATGTATAAATATGTTATTTTTACTCGGAAAAACTCATTCGAAATTTTACACGTTATATATTATAAGCTATGAAAACAAGAAGATATGAAAATCTATAGATTTAAGAGGAACATAAGAATTACGATATCTATTATTCTCTGTGCTATAAAGTATTTTAATAATTGCTATTGATAAATGTATATAGTTCGTGTGTAGCACTTTCAAAAAAGGTGAAGGCTAATCAATATAGAATTATACGTTATAACCTGTTGATATGTTGTATTCCATGGCTTAAAAATTGATTCCTCATCTGTGGGAAATAAATTAGTAGAAAAATACAATTTTTCTTGTGGAAAGCAATGTTTCTCTAATACTTGATGTAGTTTAGTCTAAAAAAAATCGATGCATTTAAATGTTTAATCCACTGTTTCCGGAGTCCTTAAGATCAGATGATGGTATATATATGTTACGGACAAAAGTCGAAATCGGGCAAACCTCAGAAATGCCCGGGCAAAATGCGAACTGCCCAAAATCCTTGGGCAAAATGTCATATTTCGGCTTTTGACCAGGCAAACCTAGTTATGACCAACCTCATTTGGGCAAAACTGCCAAAATCGTTTACTGACTTTTATCGTAAGGGTAAAACGGTAGTCTTAAATACGTTCGCTAATATTAAATACAAATAATTATAAAATAAATATTATTGTACAAATATAATTGAATAAATTTAATTAATACATTTAAACCTCACTTGGGCTAAACTGTAGCGTTTTAAATAAATTCATTAATATTAAATACAAAAAAATAATAATCATAAAATATTGTTTAGATATAATTTAATGCACTTAAATAATAATAAAAATATAATGATATTAAGTATTTGTATAAAAATAAACATATAATAATATTAGGTACTCTTATAATGTTAAAATAAATAATTAAAAATAATAATACATTTAAACCTCACTTGGGCCAAACTGTAGCGTTTTAAATAACTTCACTAATATTAAATACAAAAAAAAATAATAATCATAAAATATTGTTTAGATATAATTTAATACACTTAAATAATAATAAAATATAATGATATTAAGTATTTGTATAAAAATAAACATAATAATATTAGGTACTTTTATAATGTTAAAATAAATAATTAAAAATAATAATACATTTAAACCCCATTTTGATAAGGTGTATTTTGTGTACCTTTAATATAACGAGTTGAAAAAATATAATAACAGCGATAAATTAACAAGATATGCATGGTCATCTATAATCGTAAAAAATCGTATTTAATATTAGCAAACATATTTAAGACTCTACGGTTTTGCCATTACGATAAAAGTCAGTATACGGTTTTGGCAGTTTTGCCCAAATGAGGTTGGTCATAACTAGGTTTGCCCGGTCAAAAGCCGAAATATGACATTTTGCTCAAGGATTGTGGGCAGTTCGCATTTTGCCCGGGCATTTCTGAGGTTTGCCCGATTTCGGCTTTTGCCCATAACATATATATATTTATATCTCCAACACGTGTTGTAATGTTAATCTCTAAAAGACTTTGGCAGCAGCCTCGAGTTAATATCTAACACGCATATGTGGTCATTATATTATATATATTTAAATAAAAGATTAATATGAAAAAGACTACAGCGATGGCGATGGCGACGGCGGCGGCGGCGGCTAAATGTCTAACACGTGTTGTTACTTATTATAATATAGAATATATTAGTATTATACTTAAAATAGTTATATAATTATAACGTTATCAAAACGCGTCAGCGCGTGCGCGCGTGGTTATCATTTATTACACGTAATCGTGGTAATGGCGTCTGCGATGATAGAATAAAGAGCGCGGTAAAATCGGTGATAATGGCGAAAAATCGAGTTGTTATCAGCGATGACGCGACCGAGCTGGGTGGGGCGGGACCCGAACCCTTGACCGAGCGGAACGGTAACGGGGCGACCGAGGATCGCGGCGGACGGGGAAGCGCGCTCGTGAAGTGGTGATAGTTTTGGTGGTTGCGTCGATGGACTGGGTAGTCGGGTGGTGAAGTGCGGTCGTGGCCGAAGGCGAAAGGGTTAAACCCGCCGCCGCCGATGTCCCGGAACCGATCGATAAATCATTTAAGATCATAGGTTAAGCGCTTAATTGACGCTAAATGACCAATTATTCCGTTGAAGATCACAGGTCAAATAGTTAATTGACACTAATTGACCAATTACCCCGTTAAAGATCATAGGTCAAGTACTTGATTGATACTAATTGGTCAATTAATCCGTTAAAGATCATAGGTTAAGTACTTAATTGAGTACTAATTGGTCAATTATCCCTTTTAATTGACCAATTAGTGTCAATTAGGTTAATTGGGGTCAAAGATCAATTATGATTAATTGGGATCAAATCTTATTGGTAAGGTCATCCATGGTTGGCGGGGGTGTGTGGCGGTTTTGCGGGGAGGAGGCAGAACCGGCCATTTCATCCTACTGATGGGTTAAGAACATTATTAAGAGACCATTGCACATCTAACTACAAAACTTAACTTTTTTTACTTAACTTTGAAGGTCGAAACTCTGGAAAACATGCTTTCAAAGATTTGATAGTATTTAGTATTGTACTTGATAAGACTATTTTTAACTAAAAAGTGTTACTCAAATTAAAGTTATCAAATTAATTTTACTATTATTTTAACCTTTTAAGATGTAACTATGATGAAACATCCAACAGGATTCGAAGATGTGGTTAGATGCAGAATTAAAAACTGGTTACGATTAGCGCCAACCCGGGACAAATATAAAAATAATAAATAATAATATTAAGTTGTATTGTTATGTTTTATTATAATATCATTTACATATTATATATTGTATTTTATGGAAGTGCGCACTATTCCAATTATTAATTATTATTTATTTATACTTATTAAAATAAATTAATTTTGTGTAGGCATTAATTTTTGTTTTTGAATGTATTAATTACATTTAATGCCTATCCAACTGTAAATATGTACATTTACCTCTAAATGTATAATAGTAAATAAGTGGACTTATTAGTCAATAATGGTAAACATAAATATTATAGTTAAGACTAAAGACTATATTAATTAGTCATGTATCATATCCTATTCAAATAATAAATATTTTTTATACATCTAAAATGCTAGTTTGTATACCTATAAAAGACAGTCTTAAATATGTATATTAACAATATTTACTTAGACTTTAAATAGGTGTCTTATTTAGACTTATTTTGGAACATAAAAAGGACATCTATTATACATCAAAAATAAATATTTTGATCTAATAAATAATATATAATAGACATCTAATAGACATTGACATGTTTACTAGGAAGCGTTTTATTAAGTAATAAATTTCGTCTCAAAAATTAAATTAAAAAAACTTTATACAATCTTATAAGTTGCGAAAGAGATAACTTCAAATTTAAATTTAAATAATATTAATTAAGTATAGTTAAATAATATTAAATAATGATTAATTTGATAAATACAAATTAAAATATTATCCCAGTTGGTTTTTGGTTAAAGTAATGTTATCATTATATTTTCTAATTAATAAGGAGTATTTAATTGAAACTTACCAAATCAGCAATATACAAGATTAAAATAAGTGAGCTTGATGTAACGAATAGCTGAATGAATAATGTTGATCGTATCTTTCCATAAAAACCATGCATCTGTCTATCAAACAATTTTTTTTCTTAAATATCTTTTTAAATTTTCTTCAATATTTAAATTTATTTTGGTATTTTTCATTGGTATTTATAGAGATCATATCTCAAAACAAAACAATTTTTAGTTTTATTAAGTTTTCAATGAATAACATGATTTATGTGATGTTACTGAAATGTCAGAAACTATGATATTTTTTAAATTCAAACAATAAACTCACTTTATAACGTTCTGGTGGTCTGTAATTAGAATTTTTAAATCATTATAAACATCACGTTTAACTTCAATCATCTCTTGAGTTTTGTTAACTAAAAAAACGATGAAATTTTGAATTGTGAACTTAAATATTATATGATTTTACAAAATCAATACATTTATTTATTAAGTATAAATGATTTTATGGAATCATAAAATAATGGCAACGTGTATTAGGTAAAATCGAACAGAAATTGAACTATATTAAAAATTGGTCTCTGTAAAATTATACCAACCATAAGTTTTCATGTTATCCGATGCGTTTGCGTTGTATCCGAGAGAACTGATTGCATCATTAACTGCTTCCAGTTGGCATGTTAATGCAAATATCATCGTAAATATAAGAATGTCAGGTATGATCGTGAAATATGTAAAAATACATAGTGTTAAGAGTTCAAATGAGAAAAATACATTAAAATTGTCATTATACATATCGGCTGGAACAATTAAAAATAAATTGTAAATGTTCAATTGGTATTTTTCAACTGAACCATCGAATCTTCGAATCGAAATTGAATTGTGATTGAAAAGAAGCGGAATCAGACCCCAAGAAAAATAAGCAAAGTTGATTATTATTAAGTATAATATAATTAATAATGTTAAACGATATTGCCAATTTTTGAAAATCTTTTGATTGTAGTGTTGGTACGTCATGAAGTTGTATGACGTTACGTGCATGTACTTCTTTAAGTCTTTTGAATTGTACAGAATATTAATCATTTTAAAACATGCAAAAATGAAATTTTCGATGTACCCCCAGTACAACGATATTTCAATGTTATCATTCATAATGTAGTATAAACTTACTATCAGTGAAATTGATAATGTAAGCATATAAAACATAAATAATATTATTAACAAATGGTAAACATTGTAACCACATATTTTCGTAGTACTGGGGTTCAAAATTTGGCGTATTGTCACAAATGTTGCCAACTTTGAGTTGAAAATATTTTTTGTTTTAATTTCTGCACTCATCTGGATTTAATTCTTCGTTAATTTGATGAAACAATCTTTCAACTGACCTGTACATGATACACACAAATTAATTATTTCTCTTACGTTAAAAAATTATTATAATAGAAATAAATTAGTTACATGTTAATACCGATTTAATAATACTATTACATAAAATGTAATAAATTGTACTGCATTCAATGTTATTACGAGTATAAAAATATTTTATGAATGTTTTAGTTTATTTCTATTTATAATAATATCAACTTAGAAGTGATACCATACGTAAATAATGAATGATTGCTAATTTATTGAAAAATAATCTAAAGAAAATTTAATAATAAATGTATAAAACATGATATAAAATATAAATAAGAATTATAAACTATCAAAGATATATCCAAACGTATGTTTTTTTTAGGGTTCAAATAAAATTATTGAACTTTCGGTTATTTGTTTTGAAATTAATAAATATTGGTTTTTTTTTTTTTAATTTAATTTTAAATTGTTTTTTTCATATGGTCGTTAATAATAAGAACTTTCACGAAAGGGATGTAATTAAAAATAAATACACTATCAGCACATCAGATTTAATACAAATGTACTGTTGTAATTGTAACCATCGATGAAAACAATTTCACTGTCGTGTTAAACATTATTTTTTATACATCATCATAAGTGTTCACCATAAATCTACGTCGATCGACAAAACAATCGAGTCTAAATTATTCTTACAACACATTACTACGGTTGTACGCAATATTTACTCGGGGATGCAGACGTACTTCGGCGAAAATGTTGTGATAACTCCTTAGCTGCTCGCGAACGGAACACTGAGATCGTGTTGCTCCGCAATTGTAACAAACCGCGAGTCGGCCGACAAATGTTGGGCGACAAGATACGCACGACAACGGCAGCTGTTCTCTTCAGTACTTACGCCCAGCAATAGCGCACCCGTACAATATCAACCGTAGCGACGAGCCGTGCGCGAAGGTCGGTGACGTATGTTGTACGTCGTACACGCGAGGACGATTTACCTCGACGCAATCGGTGCACTCGAACAGTGCATAGTTTTGTTTCGCTACCTGAAAAACAGAAGGTCCAGAGAAGCGTAACGCATAATACATAAATGTACACAGTGTATCAAAAGTCTTCATCCTATTTAAAAAATATATGTTCATCTTAAATAATGAACATGAAAGGGTGAAATTAAGTAAAATATATTTTCAAAATAGTCAAGTTTTAATTACTTTGGTTACAAATGTTCAATATGACCCCCACCGGCTGCCCGATATGCATTTATACGGTGATCGAATTCCTTCCGAACGTTGTTGATCATACCTGGTGTTACGACATTCGCATCATCTGTGGTTCTGATTTTAAGCTCTTCCAAGTTTGTGGCTAATGATGATACATACACTTTATCTTTTATGTAGCGCCATAAAAAAAAAATCACGCACTGTGAAGACAGGGGAACGTGGTGGCCAGAGATGAATAGCCGAATCGTCGTTTTCTTTACCGTGTATATAATGTATTGGTATGCTAATACCGTATGCTAAATATCGTAAACTAAAAGGTACTCATTTTAAACCTTATTTTTTCAATAATTTTTCTATGATAATTATTTTGGTCATATTGGATATAATATGTATTAGGTTATCCACTAAGTTTTTTTTTACTACCGGCGGACAGATATTTACGATTTGATTCCATAAGGAGCTCGTGAAGGGATGAGACCGACGGTTTTTCTTATAACCGGTACAATGGTCTTATTTATGTCCTTATATCCTTATATAGGACTAGGGGGAGAAATGGGTTCTTAGCACCCCTGAGTTAAAATGTAGCACTTTTGTTTTTTTTTTCAGATCTATATAATCTATAGTATTTACAATTAAATACCATTTAATTTTATTTTCGGAAATTTCAGCATCCCTAATATTTGGGTTCTAGTGGCACTCATCCTTATATCATAGAACCAAATCTAGTTTACGCTTTGTCCAGTGAATTTTATATCACGATAACACTAGAGTATAATATTAAATAAAAATAATAAGAAATTATGGAAGAAATCATATAATCATTTTATTATTTCAATATATCCTATGGTGTCTAACCTCAATAAATTTAAATGTAGGACATATGCACATGCATTTATGCATTATTTCGAAAGAAATATTATTTTAACTTAACATACAATTTTCTTATAGTTATTAATCTAACTCAAGTAATATTAGTTATGAAAATAAATAGTGAAAAAAAAATGATTTTAGTATGCATCAAAAATTCGAAAATAAAAACTGATGTATACATAAATAATCAAAAACTAGAACAAGTAGAAAAAATTGTATACCTAGATCACAAATCACATCTGATGGTAAGATTACTAAAGATCTGAAATAACGTTTACATTAGCAAAAATTATCTTTAGTATGAAACATAAATAATTTATTTATAACAATTAATTGATATGAACAATAATTTATAACAATTATTGTTCATATCAAAAAAGTTACATTTCAATATCAAAAAGGGATTAATAAAGATTTAAGTTTTCAGCGTTGCAACAAATGGATGCGATACGTGGGTAGTAAATGATGCTGCAAAAAATATTTTATTAATTAATTAAATATTTTTAATTTTAATAATAAATTTGATTTAAATTAAAAAAAAAATATAATAATTGTGCCTATAGTTTTTAAAGTTTTGATTTATAGTGTTGACGCATTTCATAATTTTGTAAATAAAATCCATCATAAAAGTCCCATATCTAGACCGATCACTTAGCCCCTGTACACTTGAATAAAACCATTGTTACATGTTGGGACCATTCATAACTAAATATAAAACGTAAATTTTTATACAATGAAAATAGTCTTAATAACTTCGGGGAGAAGCGATTATTAACCATAGTCCTATTTTCGTACCCACGCCACTAGTGCATTATTTATAGTTTATCAGTTTAGATCCAGAGTTTTTTATTCGGGGACTGCACAAAAAATGAAAATAATGCAGTCGGTCTGAAAATTCTAAACCTTTGGTAACGATTTAAGATAATAAAAAAAAGACCCAACTGGCTATTCCGTGTTCGAAGACGGTCTGGTATCCAAGTGATCGGCACGAAACCGTCAGAAACATCCCGCCGGAGCAATCGAAACGATTGATTTCAAAACCGCGACGAACCCGTTTCCGTGCGCACAGAATACGCGTCAGTGAAAATCCTTCGTACAACCGAAACCGATCAACATGGCTGACCCGTGTGACTCGAAGCGGTGTACGTGTGGTCGAATAGGACCCGGTTGCAGAAACACACGCCACGAGCAACGGCCCGCGGCACCAGGACCCTGCTGCGGGAAAACGCGCCACGAACAACGACCCGCGGCACTGGGACCCTGCTGCGGAAACACGCGCCACGAACAACGACCCGCGGCACCGGGACCATGCTGCGGAAACACGTGCCACAAACAACGGCCCACGGCACCAGGACCCTGCTGCTGCACGACCGGAGCTGAACAGCAGTGGACACGTGACCAAGCCGCGCAACCGACCGTCGACCGTTTGGACGACGTGATCAACAGGTGCTCGGACCCCGACCGTCAGCGTTGTCCCTGCACCATTCCGGCCGCGACCAATGACCGCTGTACCGGGCCCGCGCCGTCCACCCCCAACGTACTCTACTCCCATTACGGGCCACAAGCGAACGCCCGGACCGGTGGCGGCGGTGTTCCGCGGCCCGACGACACGGACCACCGGAAGCCGTCGTGCAAGTGTATGTGTAGGCGCTGAATGTTTATTATAAAAATTTTTTAAACCGTACGAGTACATTTTGTTATTTTACTTTATATTTTAACGATGAATTTCATCGGAATTCATTAGAAAACGTAAATCAATTGTACTTGCCATTGATTCATAGATATTACGTGTTTGAACCAAACCGCTTTCACGCAGGGCCGTCGTAAAATTTAGTGGGGCCCTGAGGATATGAGGCCTATACAATGACAAACCAGGGGACGGTTATGGGGTTAACAAAAAAAAAAAGCAATGGACTTTGTGGTCACCAAAAGTTTGGGACCTGGGGTAAAATAGTCTCAATGCCCCCCCTTCTAGACGGCCCTGCTTTCATGAGTGTATGTCGATTGTGACTGTGATATTTGGTACATACATTTTTTCGGGAAAAGTTTTTTTTTTTTATTTTAACGTCTTTGTTCGCTTACACTCGGAGTGATTATTGCGATACAAGTGGTGATGTTTAGCTGACGTTATACTTATACTATACAAAAGCGCGTAAATACATAAATTAACATTACAAATTAAAATACGACAGCAAAAAATTTTCATAAAAAATCACGTTTGAAATATACATCATGCACACATATAGTAATAAGTAAGCCTCGGAAGTTCTTGAACTAGCAAATTTTTTTTTTATTTTTCGGATTTATTACTAAGTAGGTTATAAATTCGTTCCATGCAAGTACGAATTAAAATCTAAACAATTTAAGTACAATTTTAAGCAATTTTTATCATTTTTTTCGATTTCATTGCAATTCCATTGATTTTTTTTCATTTATAATACAATATTTAGTAATGGTTTGATTCCTCAATTTTTCTATGAGTGTTTCGGTGACTATGACAACGAATAAAAGCAATATTTAAATGGGTGGTGCAGTCGGATGATTGAGAACTGTAATTTTGATTTATAAATACATGCATTTTACCTGTTTATTATCATGTAAAAAAAATAAACTACCCGCAGAAAAAAAAACTTTTTCGACCTCAAAAAAATTCAATAGAATAACTAGCCCCTAGGATTTAATATGTACAAAGAAAATGTGATAAATTTGTTGCGTGCATTCTTTTTCAATGTACAAATAAAATAATTAATAAACTGTAATTTAATTTTATAGCAACGTTTAATATCATATTCGATATGAATACTTTCAAAATGACCTATTGGAATTTTACACGTATTTTATAAACGTATAACGTATATTATTATTCACGTATTATGTATGTAAAACGGTGTCATACTGTTAGATCAAGTGTTATTCAGTGATATCATAGTCAGTGCAAGACATTGTGCTAATACATATAAATAATTTATCAACGTCATACGATCGTTAGCGATGTGGAAACAGAAATGTGATGTTCAAAATCATAGACGAATAAGAAAATAATAGTTTTAACTTATGTAACATTTAAAATTAAATAAGAAACATATGTGTAATATATATATATATAACTTTACTATAAATATTAATCAACTAGATACACGGTTAACTTCTACTTAACTAGGAACTAATTTGTTTGGAGTTCTACAGCAGCCTTAACCCCAAATTTATTGAAAAACCAATATTCCAAAAAAAAAAAAAAAAAAGGTTTTCAAGATTTCAAGATAGTTCGTGATTATTGTTCAGTACAATAACTACCTTCAATATTTTCATATGACATCTTGCGAAACCTTGAGGTTGTCCAACGGAACCTTTATGTTCCGCGGAACACGCATTAGGAACAGCTGCTCTATAGTATACCGTTGCAATTCGTTTGCGCACATTCAAAATTTTTTACCTGAAAGTCGACGACTCGTTTACACACGACGAAATCCGTCGTTTAACTGAAAATAAATAACTAGTTTTCGCACGACACATTCACACACATGACACGTAAAGTTTCAGTAGGTATGGTAGATATTATGGACGGTACAATGGTGACTAGTGTGTTGACGACGTAAACTTTAATATGACGTAGAAATTTCTGATATTTTTGAATCTTGGTGAGAAAAACAATGTTTTTATATTGATAATTATAAATTTAGTGAATACCGTGTTTTAATGAGTGGATGTTCAAATTTTAGATGCACTAAGAAAAAATGTTCTGCGACTGTTATTGTTAAGAACTCAAACAAAATAATAAAAGTA